TGAATAAGGGAGGGGAGTGGGAGGATGGGTTAGCCTGGTGATGGGTATTAAAGAGGGCACATTCTGCATTGAGCACTGTGTGTTATATGCAAACAATGAATCATGGAACACTACATCAAAAACTAATGATGTAATATATGGTGATTAACATAACAATAAAAAAGAAAAAAATGAATAAAACTCCAGTGTGATGGTTTATAGGGTGTGAAAGGAAGGAATTTGTGAAGTACTCTATTAAACCACATTGGAGCTTTGAGGAAATAGTAAGACAATCACATTTTCAGAGCAGAGGGCTTCTTTATGGAAATGGAAATATAAAACAGTAATGTCTCGATAGTTCCAAGTTGTAGAGATCGAAGGGATTTGGAATCTTCTCTAGTCAGTGGAAAACCATTATGAAAGTCAGTCTAGGAGAGACAGGAAGCAGAAAGACCTCTTAGAAAACAATGAAGTTTTAAATTGAGGTGTTGGCTGTGGAAATGAGAAGGAAGGTACAAATAATGGGAACCAAGGATCTATAGGAGATCAGGAGATAAAACGTGACTGACCGAACTTTGGTTTTTAGAGAGAGTTCCGAATGACCAGAAGATGATAATGCCTAGAGGACTGTGAGTTTTTTATCTATTTACTTGTATTTGAAATCTAGACTTTGAATTTGTAGTGTGGAGGAAACTCAATACCAAGTAGAATGTATTTTTCTTTCAAAAAATTCCATAGTAATAATAATAATAGTTTGTACATTTTCCTGTTTTTTTATTTATATATTTTATTTATTTTCATGTTCAAACAGCTCTTACATAAATCACCCCATTGAAATCTCACTTCTCTATAGAGTAAAGGTAGAAATTATCACCCACATTTTATTTGTGAGGAAAGTAAGGCAGAGAGGTTCAGGCATTCATTTGAGCTTACTTGGCATGTGAGTGGCCAAGCCAGGTCCCACATGTTGTGTCTTCAAGTCCAAGATCAGTCTCCTACAGCAAAGACAGCACATCTCAGCCAGGAGGAGGCAGGGCTAGATGGAATGAGCACACACATTTCTGTAGCGATGTGTCATTCCTTCAGTTAGTCCATAAAACAGAAGACAATTCAGTAAAAGTAGGTAATGACTGTGCACATATAATTGTCATTAGATTTAAATTATAGAGGTACTGCTCGTCAGTTTCCAGAAAAGGGAGAGGGCAGGAGAAGAGAAAGTTGGATAAAGGTGTGGGGTTTTTTCCTTTTCTTTTCGAAGTGCAAGTAATGTATGTCTAAATGTGGAATTGCTTTGCATGAATCACTGACCCTTTAATTACTGAGCTCCAAAGCTATTCATCTGTCTGATCAGAAGAAGTCCACTCCAAATGAAGGCTCTTGGGGTCAACAACTCTCAGATTCTGCTCAGGACCCATCTAAGGCACCCAGGCATGGAGGTCAATATCACTCAACACCTGAATTTTATTTAAACCTTCTCCAACTCCAACTGGGCAGGGAGGTGATGAACATTAAGACTGCATATGTCTCTGCTTACATCTAACATTGCTTTTCTGGAAGGAAACAAATAAACAAAACAATAGAATTCTGGAGACCTGGATACATCATCTATAAATTGCATACACCTGAGCAAATCATTTCATCATTCTGTTTCAGTTTCTCACCTGTCAGTGGACAATGAAAGGCAATAATTTCTTAATCTATTTACTGATTTATTTCATGCACTGAAGACCTTACTGTATACCAAGGATTGTGTTTAGTGCTGAAGAGCAGCAGGGAATAACACAGATTCTAGCCTACACGAAGTTTAGAGATTATCAGGTGAAATTATTGTCAAGCTGATAATTATAAAAATAATCCTGTTTAATAATGCTAAGATCTCAATGCTTTAGTGAGGCTTTCTAGAGTGAAAGGATCTCTAAACAGACAATATGATAAAAAATTAAGCAATTTTGTGGTGCCTGGGTGTTGCAGTTGGATAAGCACGTGACTCATGGTTTCTGCTCAGGTTGTGATCTCAGGGTTGTGAGATCAAGCCCAGAGTCAGGCTCTGCACTCAGCTCAGAGTCTGCTTAAGACTCTCTCTCCCTCTGGTCCTCCCCACTTCTCAAGTAAATAAATAAATCTTTAAAAAAATATATTAAAAATTAAGCAATTTTAAGGTCAGGGGAAGAAAGCTAAATTTTATTGAGCACTACTATCTATTAGGTAGAATACTAGGATCTTTATATGTATATTCTGATTTAATTGTTTCCTCAAAGCACACATTATTTGCTATTATGTATGTTTTCCCATAAAAAAATAAAAGCTCAGGGAAATTAATTAACTTGCCCAGATTCATCATATTTTGGTACTTAAGAAGCCAAATTCTGGAGTTAGACTACATGGGTTCAAATCCTAGTTCTGTCTCTCTGTGAACCTGGAAAGTTATTTACATTTCCTATATCTCAGTTTTCTCATCCATAAATTGAGGATAATAACATTATCTGTATCATATGGCTGTTGTGAGAATTAAATGAGTTTGTTGTACCTGACAAAAAGAAAGTGTTATATAAATATTAACTTCTATATTATTTTTAATATTAGGTGGTTTGACAGTTAATTTCATGCATCACCTTGGCAAGGCCATGGTGCCCATTTGCTTCATCAAACGTCAGACTAGATGTTGCTGTCTAGGTATTTTTTTAGATGTACTTAACATCTAAATCAGTAGACTTTCCATAAAGCAGATTACCCTCCATAATGTGGGTGGGCCTCACCCAATCAGTTCAAGGCCCTAACAGGAAAGACTGAGTTTTCCTGATGGCAAAGGAATTCAGGCTCAAGACTGCAACATAGAAACCCTGCCTGAGTTTCCAGTCTGCTTGGCTTACTCCATGGATTTTGGACTTGCCAGTCCCCACAATAGGGACTATCTTCTTGGTTTAGTTTCTTTGGAGACCCTGATGAATACAGCCATACAGGCTGAATGTGAATCCCACTCAGATTGCCAAGGTTGGTGCAAAGTTTCAATGGACTTTCCTGTAGTTAAACCTGAAGATATTCAATTTGTGCTGCCCTCTTTTACCCATCTGGTTTTCAAAAAATGAACAAAGATTTTGATGAGTTTTCACTGAAAAAGGCAGTGGCAGTCAAGTCCAAAGAGACCTGACTATAGGTCTGTTCTCTTCATAGTCCAGAACGTTCCTTCCCCAAAGGCTTTGTACCGTGAATAGGGGCACATGTGACAAGTCGTATTTCTTTCATAACAGAGAGAAAAGTTTAAAATGAGATTCTAGACTTTCATTAGTTTTTCTGCTGCCCTAATTTCTTTTCCTCCTTTGCTTTCACACCAGCTGCAGACTTTAATTAAACTGTGGCAAGTCTGCTAAACTTGGCGGGCTTTCCAGAGAAAACAAGGGCATCTCCTCCCAGGGCAGATCTTTCCCTGAGTCCTCCAGCTTGCATTTATTTTCCCAACTGTCTGGATTAGTGGCTAGAAACCTTGCACGACCTCACATCTTGTTTCCTCCTCCCTTTGTTCTCTTCTACTTAGCGGATTTTGCAGAAATTCCTAAGCTGTGTATTACTGCCATGACTAAATCAAAGTAATATTTCATTGCTGTAATTATGGTGAATTACTACACTGGTTTGTCATTTTGATTCTTTATTTTAAAGCACCATTCATAGCCACAGGATAAAACCATCATATCTGTATTTATGGATTAAATTAATGCATCTCTTTATTACGGACAATGATAAAATGGAAGGTGAACAGGAAGCACAATCTTATTAGGCTGTAGACAATGACAAATATATTATGCCATCTCAAAATGCTCCTGAAATCAGTGGCTATGTACACTGGGCTCTGCTTTCCACAACCGTCTTGGAATTACTAAACAGTGTGGTACAGAGAGCTGAAACTCACGGGAAGCTCAGCACTGCTTATGTGGCAAGGTTTCTTAAATACACCAGTTTATTTATTTTTTATTTAAAAGACCAACATTTTCGGGTGCCTGGGTGGCTCAGTTGGTTAAGCGACTGCCTTCAGCTCAGGTCATGATCCTGGAGTCCCAGGATCGAGTCCCGCATCAGGCTCCCTGCTCAGCGGAGAGTCTGCTTCTCCCTCTGATCCTCTTCCCTCTCATGCTCTCTGTCTCTCATTCTTTCTCTCTCAAATAAATAAATAAAATTTAAAAAAAAATAAATAAAAGACCAACATTTTCTTCTGCAAAGCTTATTTTGCAAGCTGCGTCACTGGACTCTTTCCTTCCACCTTTATTTATATTTTATTTTATTTTATTTTATTTTATTGATTGATTGATTGATTGATTGAAAGAGAGAGAGAGCCCAAGCAGAGGGGAAGGGAGAGAGAGAATCCCAAGTAGGCTCCACACCCAGCATGAGGCCCGACATGGGGCTCGATCTTACAACCCTAAGATCATGACCTGAGCTGAAATCAAAAATCAGATGCTTAACTGAGCCATCCAGGTGCTCCAACTTCCACCTTTACATAATAGCAGACAGTTTATAGGAAAATTCTAGAAAATGTTTATGTAAAGATACTGCCACCTGAATAAATGAGAAGGTTCAATGACTAGACAAGTGACTCCTTCTGCTGAGGAGTGATAATACTGGAAACAGGGGTAAGGATACTGGGAAACGCTGAAGAAAAGGTTTTCAAACCCAAAGAGGTGAGATCAGGAGGTCCAGGAGGAAAGAATTGAATGAAACTTGAAATTAGTCTCATCCTAGCACCTAACCAGGATTTGCCTATCTCAAGTGATTGGGCATCAGCTTATCCATCCTGGTTAGGCCCTGGATAGAAGTAATTTCAATAAATAGTCACTGAGTATCTACCATGTGTCTGGCACTCAACTAGGCATCAGAATGTAGCTATAATTACACAAGAGAGAAATGGGGCCTGCCTGCATGATGTTTAAAGAAAGAAAAGAGACACATTAAATCAATACTTTAAATAGCTGATTATATTTAGAATTTTTAGAAGTTCTATCAAAAAAATAAACAAAAAACCAACACAGGATATAGTTACCTGGCAAGGGAGATACCATGATCACAAAGGTGGTTTTTCAGGGTGAGTCTTATCCACTAGACTCCAAATGTGCTGACCTGTGATTTCCCCAAATGTGGGAAACTTCACTGCATAATTTGTGGTAGTAGGGGACTGCATTTTTGCTTTCCCCTGTTTAGTTCTGGCCAAGGAAAGAACGTTTCATTTTCTGTTTTGGTGTGGGTTTTTGTTTAAGCCTGAGCCCTTGCTGGGTCATTTTTGAAGAAAATTAATTTGTTTAGGAAGCTGAAAACAAACAAACACAGGATATTATAAAAGCACATCACAGGATGGGGGTTGTTTTGGCTGGTCAAAAAACTCAAAGAAAACCCCCCTGAGGAAGTGAATTTTCAAGCCTACAAATCAGTAAGGCTTCGCACAGACTGTTCCCTCTGCCTGGAACTCCTCCCTTCCCTACACATGGCCAAGGACCTAAGGTGGGAGGAAGCCTGATGAAAGCAAAGAGCAGTGAACTTGGAGGACAGTGATGGAGGAGAACAGGACCATGGGGTGAGGGGGTCAAGTGAGTCTTAGGAAGATTGTGCCAGGAACTCACACACCACATGAAGTTTGAATTTTATTTTCAGAACAAAGAGAAGCAACTTAAACATTTTAAGCCGAATGAATAACATGATGAATTTGCAATTTAAAAAGGTGCCCTCTTTTGAGAACAGGGCACTTGTAGAAGAGCAGGTTTGGGACAATTTGAAGATAACCTCATTGGCATCGAGAGCCTGCTATGTGACAAGCAGTGCAGTCTGTGTATAGTTAACTCTCTTAACCTTTGCCTCCACTCCATGGGGCAGGGATTCAGGGCTGGTTTCATGGGCAAAGTCTCCACACTCAGCTCAGTCAAAAAGTGCCTGACACTCAGAAGGGCTCTGCACTGGGGGCTCAAGGCTCTGTGGTGTCTGTCTTGAAATTCCTAGTAATTTGATTAACTATATTTTGTAAGCAGAATTCAGTAGGACAGTGGAGCATGCACGGGGCCTGGGAGCCTCAGCTCACAAATGGTCTTGCCACCCCAGCCTCTCTGCCTCAGCTGCCTGCTCCCAGCACCCTGGGCCCCACCAGACCTCCCCTACTCTATCCTGGCCCCATGACCACTGACATTCTCACCGCCCTGGGCAGTGACCCAATGGTGCTGGTCTGAAAAGACCTTCATCCCACCATCATCCATTGTCCCGGGCCGGGGCCGCCCCTCCTCCAGCATGTAGGATGGAGCTCAGCCCCTGCTCACTGCCTGGGGCTGGCAGCACCCTTGTGTGTTTGATGGGTGACCTGTCAAGAACAATCTTCTCACTTACCCTGATTCAGGTAGCAGACATAGTTTAGATTTAGAACTCTGTCTAATGCCTGTTTATGAAATTCTGACCTATAGACAGATAGGATAGATTCTAGATAGATAGATGGAGTTCTAAATCTAAATTATGTCTCATAAGAAAATCTGGAAGCTGATTCACGTGTCAAGGACCTGGAGGATCCTTTTGATGGGAATGATCACATTAATAACAAACATATGAACACTTTTTATATGGCAGACCCAAATCTAAGCTCATCACATGCACTATCTCAATATACTCTATAACTAACCTTAAAATCTGTTGTTACCTCCATTTGACAGAATAAGGGTCAAGTCCTAGAGAGTTAAGTAACTTGGCCGAGACAACATGGCTTCATTTGCAGAAATAAGATTTAATACAAATCAAGGTAAATTCCAGGCCACAGCTCATTACCAGCTTGGGCACCAGTTCCCAATCAGCCCAGCCTGCCCTTTTACCCAGCTGGGAAGAGCAAAGCCAGAGAGCCTAGAAATTTTCCTAAAGTTCTTAGAGGGTAATAATTGGACAATCAATACCAGAACCCTGTCTGTTTCTTAATGCAAAACTCTTTGCTTTATAAATGATAACATCGGAAGCCCTGCATAGCCATTGACCTCAGCTTTATCTGAGAGAATTTCTGCTAACAGGAGTTAAGAACCCACTTTGTCTGTGTCCACAGCATGTAGGAGTGCAAGGTGGAGCCCCTCTTCATTAGTTCACCTTGGGAGGAAGGAGGGCATCTGTAAACCGGCCAGTGAGTGGTACTTCCCAGAGTCCTCTGGGTCCAGAGCAAGTCCCCTGATGAGTGGGACAGCTGGGCTCTCCAGGACTCTCGAGGCAATGCCCTGGCCCAGAAATTGCTGGATGAGTGTGATGTAGCTTTCCTTTCAAGGGCCATGTTGAGGTGAGTACACTGACGAGGAGCTTCTAACCTCTATGCCCTCGTATCGACCCCACCTTCATGTAGACAAGCAAGAATAAACACAAAACAAGTAAACATACAAAACAAATACAAAGGATATAGATCAGGGCTTATGGACCTGTAATAAGTTCCAAAAAGGCCCCATGAATACACCAACTCAACTTGTCATAATCATTCATTCATTCAGTGATTTTTAAAAATATGTATGTTTATGCATTGCCGTTCTACTAGGTATCACACCGTGTTCCGGGTGTTGAGGATTATAGCAGGAAACAGAGCAGAAAATGTAATGCTCTCCTGGATCTGATATTCTAGTTAGGAAGTGACATGATACTTAAATATATAATATGTCTATTGGTGATCAATATCATGGAGAAAAGTAAGCAGATAAACACAAAAAGGAATGCAGGGCAGCAAGCAAAGCACTATTTTCATAGGGGATCAGGGAAAGCTTATCTTTCTGTTCTATTTGGGCAAAAACCTGAAAGCAGTAAAGGACCAAGCTACCTACTTAGCCAAGGGAAGAAAGCTCCAGAAAGCATTCCAGCAAAGGGCAAAACCCCTGAGGCAAAAGCTTGCTTATCATGTGCAAGGAAGTGTAAGGAGGCCAGTGTGGCTGGAGCAGAATGAACAGGTGCAGGGGAAGAATGAGGCCAGACAGGTGATGGTTATGGGGCAGGGACATCACGTAAAGCTTTGTAGGCCAAAGCAAGGACTTTGCCTTTAACTTCAAGATGGGAAACCACCTGAAGGTTTTGAACACAATGGTCGAGTGATCTGAACAGACTCACCCTGGCCACCGTGCTGGGGAGACACTGACCTAGGTTGGGAGGGGTGAAGGCAGAAGGTGGGGGATCCAGTTTAGAAATGAGGTGATGACCCAAATGAGAAATGACGGTCCACAGGGGTGGTGATGGAAGAGTTGAAAAGGAGGTAGGTTCGGGATCTATCTGAAGGCAGAGCCAACAGGATTTGCTATGGCTGTGAGGAGTAGGAGGAAAAAGGTGATTGCCGGATTTTGGCGTGAGCCGTCAGTGGTGACAGGAATGGACTGTGAGAGTTCAGTGTCGGATGTGTTAAGCTTGAGGTGCCTATTAGATATCAAAAAGGAGATGTTGAGTAGACAAGTTTATATATAATCTGTGGTTTGGGAGGGAACATCTTGGCTAGAAATAAAAATTTGTAGTTTTTAGCATATTGATGGTATTTAAAGTTGTACCACTGAATAAAATCACACAGGGAGAAATGTACTCAGAAAAAAAAAACATAATTAAAATGTGAATACCATGCTGTATATATTATATACATTTAGGATATTATATGTATAATGTATGTGATCTATGCATTAGTTTAAGAAATTGTATAATTATCTCTGCAAGGTAGGTAGTATTCATCTCATTTCACAAATGGGAAATGCAGGAAGGTCAAGGGGCTTACCTAAATTAATTCAAGTAGCAAACAAAATGGGACTCAGATCCAAGACACCACACTCCTTTAGTACAATGGCCTTGATGACTGTAGGCTCTGAACACCACAGTTTATCCTAAGTGTGTGTTCTTTTCTTTCCTGAGATTGGACGTATTCCTAGGCGCCAGTCCCCTAAGGGCAAAGCATCCGAGAGAAGCTGCAAAAGGATAGTGATCATTGTTTTAACATCTTTAGCCCTCTTTACTGGCAGAATCTTCTCATTCAGTCTCCCGCCTGGCCAAGTGTCCAGCAGGGACCTCAAGACAGGAGGCCATCGGAACTGAATGATTTTGTGGCAGAAGAAAAGGACCATAGAGTTTTATGCACAACCCAAACCTAAATGTTCCTACAGTTTGTAGCTGATGCCAAAAGGCCAGGCTTTGCCCTAGGGGCCGCTGTGAGCAGTGGGATGCAGGGCTGGTAGGAGAATGCCTCTGACCCCCTCGGGGCAGGGCCCCTTGGCAGCAGGGTGGCCTCCAGCCCAAGCTCTCCAAGGGTGGCTCCCTCTGCTTCCTAACCTGGACAGCCTGGTGGGATTCTTGTGTTTGGTTCAGTTCAACTTCCTCTCTCTCTTTCCTGAATGCACCAGTTTTGACAGTGTTCACAGATGTTAATTAATGTAGACCTCTCTTCCTGAACAGCCAGGGCATCTTTAGTGAAGTTATAGATTTTCTTTCTCAATTACTCTGGAGTCACCCCGAGGCTATTAATTTGTGCTATTAGCTGTGGGTGATTTCAAAATCCATATTGATAATGCTGAGGCTGTGGTGGCTGCCTGCTCCATGGGCTGTGGGTAAACAAGCCGTAGCCTCCTCTGTCACCTTTGTTGCAGCCCGAGTTTTCTGGGAGCCAAGCTGCTCGGGTCATTGTTATAGGAATCCTGTTCCACAGATGACTCGGAGACAACAGCTGGTTTTTTAATGTTTTAAAAAATAGCAATAGTCATAGTGACAATAATGATAAGTTAATATAATAAATTAACAATATTTTGTGGCTAATCATATTAATTTGCATTGACTAATCATTGATTATTTATATCGGTTAGCAATAAAATAATTTTTTTTAAAGATTTTATTTATGTATTTGACAGAGAGATAGAGAGAGAGCACAAGTAGGCAGAGAGAGAGGGAGAAGCAGACTCTCCACTGAGCAGGGAGCCTGACGCAGGGCTCGATCCCAGGACCCTGGGATCATGACCTGAGCCGAAGGCAGCCGCTTAACTGACTGAGCCACCCAGGCGCCCCAGCAATAAAATAATTTTAATAAACAACAATGACAGTCGCTTTTATGATAATTCACTTATGGAGTAACTCCTACAATGCCTCCAAGGCATTGTACTAAGCAATTTTTTTTTTCATCAAATCCTCATACTTCTATAAGAGATGAGAGATGTGAAGTTAGAAAGTTTATGCAGTTTGTCCCAT